TTGGGTTTTCCGGGCCGGTCCGAGCCCAATCGGGCTAAAACCCAAAAACTCAATAGCCCGAATGGATTGAGCCCGAAAGGCCCGATTTTTTTTTGGACTTATATATTCAGGTCCGAACCCGATATTTTTAAGGGCTGGGTCGGACCGGACTTCGGATTTTGACCCTAATTGACATGGCTAACTGTAAAGCAAGTTATATACTGTACACTTTGTTCTGTATGCATGATTAAGCCACTCATACATATGATATACGGAGACGTGATACGATTATTTATTTCCAGTCATTGAAAAATGCATAGAACATGGCATATAACCCATTAGTACAAAGTCTAAAACAAAACATATCGAGTAATCTTTTTTGTTTTTTTTTTAATATTGTGAGATTCAGTTGTATCTTGATGCTCAATCATTAAATACTAAAATTACCTCAAACATTTGTCCGAAAGTACAAAATTGTGAAAGGAGAGTCGACAAGAATAAATGTCCGACCTCTTTTTTTTTTTCTTACAGACCTCACAACACCTTAGATCTGATGGTTGGTTGTAACAAAAGATACAGAAATTTTCTTCTAACAAAAATAAAGCGATTTAACGTTATAGATCATGTTATAAATTCATGGCAGTTTTAGCAAATTTGTTCCCCATAAAAACATTGTTTGTACTGAATAATTCTTCTGTTTGTTTTTACATAATCTGAAGAAATAACTCATTTCAGTGGGGGTACACAATGAGGCCCATATTAAAGTCTTTGGTTGACGTAGATGTTGGACCCATGGGCTTAACTCTTTACCTCGTGGACCAACCTCATAAATTTCACCTAAAGATAACGTTGATTCTAGACACGTGTCAGCAATCTACCGTAATAGCTTTCACAGTGTGTTATTTCTTGAAAACGATTTAACGGACAGGCTGTAACAGACAGAGCTAGGAGATATGCGATATTTGATACATTATTGTCTCCACAACAAACAAATACTATGTAAAAGAATGATCAATTTACATAAACCAGTTCACAAAAAAACAGATGGTTATCTTTTACCAGACCGAATCCCACAAACCGGTTTGGTTTGTTTCAAAAAGCAAGAAAAAGAGTGGAACACTATGAATCAAAAACCAATGAAATATTTTTGGGTCAGTATATAACCTATGATGTGTTTTATAAAGCACAATTTACATTTCAGTTAAACAACGAAGTTTAGTACCAGAGGCTGAATCAAGCTTCACGAAGTGATCTTGGAACTCTCATGCCAAATCCATGCTTAACTTTCTCAATCCTGATTCAAAAATTTCAACATTTTTCATAGAATGTCAATGAGTTAGAAAATTTTCAGAATCAACTAAAGATTTGATACTTCATTACAGAGACTTTTTGTGCTTACGTTGGAGCTAATTTGCCAAGACTCTTGAGTTCTACACCAGAGTCTCCATCAAGAACTCTTCCTGATATATCAACAATGTAAGAACGGTTCTTTTCTCGAGGAAGACCTCTACGCGAAAGTAAGTTGAGATCTCTCTCGTGAAGCTCTCTTCCGTTCACAAGCACGCTCGTGTTTCCTGCACCGCAGTTATCCGCCATTGGATGACTAAACTCTTCAATAAACGGCTGCATCAAAACAACAAGTATTGCCCATTTCTTCATCACCACCAATACAACAATACAGGCAAAACAAAGAAACAGAAGTTGACAGTAGAATAGATGAAATGTATAAGTCTTACTGGTATTATACCGAGACACGGGTTTCCCATTACTCCCCAGAACCCAGCACGGTAATCATACCTAATCAGAATCATAACAGAAAGAAGATATCTTTAGTGGCTGATCAAATAATTTCTGACATACATAAATGAAACTGTAACCAAACATACCAGTAGTTGCCAGCTTGAACTGGCCCAGCTTGTTTCTCGGCGCTGATAACCAGTTCTTCCGGTATTAGATGCCCATTCACCCAAACTTCCAACTGCTCGTTGTTTTGATCATCAATAGAGGTGGTTTTACTCGTGACCTCTGATAAACTGTACTCGCCACTCTCCTTTCTTCGGTTTCTTGGTCTGTTCTCTTCTTTACTGGTTGTTGAGATCCCTGAATCTTCAGACACATCAGTGTTGTTATAGTACCCATTATACGAAACATCTGTCTCAGAAGCTACTGATTCCAGTTTCAGCGAGTCTTGTTTCACGTAGGATTCTTGCTTGTTGTACCCTAACTGCGACATTCCGTAATTGAGTGCAGCTCGGTTTACATTAGAATACTCAAAGAGCTCAAGAAGATTAGTATTATCAGGAGGCAGAGGAGGAGGAGCTTTCGTGCCTTTGACTCTGCGACGAACAGACATAGCGACCTCTTTTTGCGGTTCACTAGAAATGCTTGATCTTTTTTCAACATCTGAGTGTTCACTAGGCGATACAGGCAGGACAATTTTGGTCTCCCGCTGTTTTCTTGGTTCCTCATCCTTAATCGAACAATCATCTACCACCGCGCTTGTTGCATTTCTATCTTCATCCTCCACAGAAACCTGGTTAGTAGCTTCCGCAAGAGCAGAAGAAGAGAAGACAAGTTTCTTATCAGCAATTGTGAAACTGATAACCTCAGAACAAGCACCACATTGCAGTCTTTGTTGCTTATCCTGAGCAAGAAGCTTCTTCTTAGGCAAATAAAGCAGCTCAAAGCAATTGTGACAAGCTATAAAAGGCGCACCGCCAGCTAAAGGATGGCAACGACGTGAATCAGAATCCGACACAGCTTTGTGGACATACCCACGAGCAAATG